CAGGGCAGCACTACCATCCACATTTGACAGATGAGGAAGCTAAAGCCCAGGCAGGGACAGCAACCTACCTATGGCCACTCTGGACCCTATACTCTCTCACCTACAGCCTCAGGCCAACCCAGGCACCGCCTCCAGGAAGCCTCCCCTAAAGCCTCCAGCCACTTCTGACCATTCCCTTCTCTGAGCACCCCCACCTGAAGGTTGGCAAGGCCTTAGTTATCTGCCCTTAGTCTGTGTCCAGATCCCCTACCACCATGGCCTAAGTCAGACCAGCACAGCCTCTACAAACCACCTTCCCAGCAACTTCCTGTAGAAATGGGGAAATGGAGCCCCAGAGGGGACAAAGGCCCACCCTGCACCTGAGCTCACCCAATCCAAAGCCCTAAAACCAATTAACTTCCACCCCTGCCACCACAGATAAGAAAACAGACTCTAAAAGGTGAAATGACCCCCAAGGTCACATAGCAAGGACTGGCCTCTTGCCCAGCTGGACCCCCTCCAGGGTGCCCTCCCACAATGAAACAGCACAACGAGACCCAAGTCAGCAGAGAGAGGTAAGTTATGAGTAGCCATGGGGTCCTGGAGACAGACGGGCCCAAGGGGGCAGAGAGATCTCAGCCCTTAGAGGTCTCAGCCTTGAACCCAAGGACCTGTGTTCTAATCCTGCTTCGGCCACTTCCTGTTTGGCCTTACACAAGTAAGTTCCTGCTCTGAGCCTCAGTTTCTACATCTGTTCGGATGGGCTTAGTAAGACTCATGCCACAGGACAGTTGTGAAGACACAGTGGGAAGACAAAACACCTGGCCCTCCCCGGCCCTGCCCCACCTTCCCCATGACCTTCTGAGTCCCTCCGACTGTTAAGAGTGAAAAGGGCCCTTGGAAATCCCTGAGATGATCCCCTGATCCCTCTTCAAAGGGGGAGAGAATGAGGTGCTGAGAGGGGACAGGCCTGAGCACTGGCTTGAGAGCTTGGAACCCAGGGAGGGGAGGTGGAGGGCTGCGGTGTGGAAGCAGGTAGACAGTGAGATAGGGCAGTGGGGGGCCACTGGAGCTTTCCCCAAAGGGAAAGGGGAGGAGCCATAGGGCAGGAAGTCAGAGAAAACAGGTCCCCACTGCCACCCCCAGCTTCCTGTGGCAACAGAAACCTCAGATTCTCAGAGACACTCCCCCAAGAGATCTCCCTGCCTTACTCCAGCCACCAAGGCCCTCAAGGCCCCTTCACAGTGGTCTGCCTGTGAACATCTGTCCCATGAGTAGACAGGGGCCACCTGGAATTATCAATCCTCTCTCCACCTGGGTCTGGAAGCCTCTGTGGACACGGGCCAGGTCTCTTCCTCTGCCTCTCACATGGCTAGCCAAGCACCAGGCTAGACACTCAGCAGCACTGGAGAACCTAAGCACATGAGCATCCAGGGCAGGGCTGCTCAGGCCATGTCATCTCCTGCCTTCTGTCCCCCGACCCTTATTCTGTTCCCATGGGCCCCAGCACAAGCACTGAGTTCAGAGGCTCTTGGGGCCAAGAGAGCTCCATGACACAGATAGAGACCCAGCTCAGAGAGGGGCAGGACGGTGCCCACGATCACACACACAGAAGAGGGCACCATAGCCAGGGACACCCCAGCCTCTTGCCCAGCTGGCATGGCTTGAATGACTGCCAGGCCTTCTGGGTTCCCATTCCTCACATCACATAGGAGTCACAGGGAAGCCTGGCCTGGACACTGAGAGGCCTGGGTTCCGGTTCCAAGCTGCCCTCTGCCTTGGACCAGGATGCATGTTCAGCATCTGCCTCTGGGACAGGACTTACCCTCTCAGGAGATGGTGTCTGCCTCCTCTCCAGTACCCAGAGCATAATGCAGGCCTGGGGCCAGGCTGGGCTGGAGGCCAGGAAGGAGGGAAAGGGGGGAGGTGGCCTCCAGCAGCCCCTTCCCTTTGTCCTGGCACCAAATGCTGGGCCCAGTGCCACAGTGGCTATCAGGGACCTCTGGACACAGAGGCGGGAGAAGATAAGTCAGGGGGAAGGGAGACGAGGCGGAGAAAATCAATCAGGTAGACAGATAGGCGGATCCGGATCCACACCCCCACCCTGTGATCACAAGCACAGGGCATGTCCAGGGGGCAGCTGGCCTTTCCTCAGGGGGCAGGCTCAGAAGGCTGGGGCAGGCGTGGGGGAGGGGGAAGTTCAACAAACACCTGTGATTGAGTTCCAGCCTCCAGGAGTGATCCAATCATCTCTGGGACTCTGGCTTCAGACCTGCTGTGCGCCCTTAATAAGCCATGCCCCTTTCTGGCCTCAGCTTTCTCATGCATCAAAGGAGAATGGGATGATGAGAACACCGTGTCCTTCAAAGAGTTTTTGGTTTCTTTTAATCTTTACCTGAGGATACGTTTTTATTGATTTTTACAGAGAGAGAGAAACATCGATGTGAAAGAGAAACATCCTTTGGTTGCCTCCCATTCGCATCCTTACCGGGGACTGAACCCGAAACCTAGGTATGTATCCTGACCAGGAATCGAACCCGCAACCTTTTGGTGTACAGAACAATGCTCCAACCAACTGAACCACCAAGGCATCAAAGAGTTATTGATGGGGTCAAAGCCATAACATTGACCAAAATGTGAGCCCAAGTGGAGAGACTCTGGAGTCAGGCTGGCCTGGGTTCCACTCAGCTGCCCTGTGACCTTAGGCGAGTAATATCACTGCTCTCAGCCTCAGTTTCTTTGTGTGTAGCATGGAGACAAGCCTACTACTGACCAAGACTAGCCTGAGGGTAAATTAGATGATGGAGGAAAATGCTTGGTTCAAAGCAGGGGCTCTTAGAAATGGTATTCCTGAAATTTAGGGGGTGGGCAGCTCAGAGGCCTCTGCCCATCTCCCAGAGCTCGTGCTGAGGGGACCAGGAGTGGGGTACAGGATGCCTATAATCAAGGCCCCAGACTTCTCCCTGGGCCCCAGCTCTGCTCACCTACTATCCCCAACCTTCACTCCACTGGAGGGAGCAGACCCGGAGGGCAGCAATAGGGAGAAACATAAGACAGAGAGGGCGAGGCTGGGAGGCTAGAAATCTAGGTTCCAAGCTCTACTCTGTTGGCACTTGGCTGGGTGACCCTGGGCTGGCCCCTGTCCCTCTCTGGGCCTCAGTGTCCTCATTAGCACCTCAGTGAGGGGGTGGGGGGAGAATTGCCAGGAGCCCTTTGGCACTTCCAGTATCAGCTCAGTCTGAGAGGGAAGAAGGGGCAGGGTCCGGGCTGCCAGGGAGAGTGTATGCCCTAACCGTAGCCCACAAGCCCATTTTTTCCAAGTCCCTTCCACTCCCAAGGAAGACTATCAGACAAGACAAGTCTGATGTGGCCACAAGAGGTCTGTTGTGGCAGTCTGGCCCCCAGACCCACCCACCCCAGTCCTGGACAGGGCTAGTTTATCCATTAACCAAGCCAGATGGAGGAGGCAGCTCCACCCTGTTGACAGAGGATGGGCGTACTAGCCTCCGTTCAGATCTTTCCCTCCCTTCCTTCTGGAGGGCCAGCTCAGTGGGGAAACCACACTTCCCCACCCCACTGTGCAGCCATCCTTAAGCCTTTCCCAGGTCACAGTCAGGAAAACAAACTTGTTCTCACAACCTTCATTCAACTAACATCCCTGCTCTGTCTGTGCTGGGTGCAGGGGAACACCAAGCTTGGACATACCAGCTGCCCTCCCCTTCCCTGCACCTCAGGCTAGACACAGGTCAGGCCCCCACGGAAGCCCCCTAGCCCACCGTCCTCAGGTCTGGGCAGAGTCCCAGAGGGGGAGACACATGGAAACTCTGAGAGAAAACGAAAGTCAGATAGGCAGGATGCAGAGAGTGATAGAGGGCAGAAAGGGTGAGCCAGAAGGCCACATGGGAACAGATGGACAAAGCTGTACATGACTAAGACAAAGGGAAGCAGAAGGTACAGGGCCAGAGACGGAACATCAGACATCTCTGGCTCTGTCTGGTGTGAGGCCAAGGTGCCTGAGCTAAGTCTGAGAGCAGGGCCTAGGCAACGGGGGAAGGGGGGGCGGGCAGGAGGCCCTCTGAGTCCAGTGGCCTGATCCACCAACCCTTGCAACAGGAATCCACATCTTCACAGTTCCCGAAGGACAGCAGAAGGAGAAGGCAAGAGAAAGGGAAGGGAGGGGAAAGGGCACAGCCTACTGCCAGGAGCCCGCTGAAGGGAGCCCTATCCCCCTGGAAATGTGGCACTCACACAATGCCAGAGGTGCTAGGGGTGGCTACTGATGCCTCTAGACTAGAGTCTTCACCAGCCTCTGCTCTATCTAGGCCCCCAACGGAGATGAGCTCATGGGGTCCCACGCCCTTAGCCTGCCCTGACAAGGCAGAGAAAGAAAAATCATGGGGCTATAATGAATGGAGTTGAGGGCTGTCAAGGGGTGGATGTGCCTCCCTTGGCCTCCTCCTCTCCCAACCCACCACCAGCCTGGCCCTGCGTAAGGCAGGGACATCCACGCCCTGCCTTCGAGATCTGCCAGCCACAATCCCGAGTCCCTGCAGCAGACTCAGGGAGCAGCCAGGGACAGAAGGGGGGAGAGCAGGGCACCAGGCAGGAAGGGATCAGGTCCCTGCCACCCAAGTGTGCAGAGAGTGGGAAAGAGACCCAGCTCAGGCTGAGAGAACCAGGAGTTAGGAAGAGAAGGGCTCAATCTCCCACCTTGAGTGACTCAAATCAGTTAGGAGGGGAAGGCTTATGAGGGCAGAAGGGTCCCTGAGGGAGACCACCTCCCTGGAGCAGGCAGGGGCATGCAGAAGAAGCCTGGGTTCTGGCAGAGTGAGCCAGAGTCACACACCTTCTCCAGGCCTCAGTTGGCCCATCTGTGTAATGGGGCTTGCAGGACAAACTGTGCCACTACCTAGTTCCTGGCAAGAGGCTGAAATGCACAGCCAGGTGGCAGGGGCTCTGCGGGAGCACCAAGAGACCCCTGTCCGAGGCGGCGAGGCTGCATGTGCGGTCCCCAGCCCTACCTTGATCTTGTGCAGGGTCCGATCCATCTCCACAGCCTGCACCCACACAGACACGCCGGCCTTGCTGTAGGTCAGGTTCCAGCCCGCCTCGGCCTCACACTCGTGACCGGAAGCTGCGGAAGTCCTGGTCATCGGGCACCTGGACGCTGTCGCGGCCCAGGACTGCCGAGGCCCCTGGGGCTCTGTGGAGGCCGCAGACTTCTCCATGGAGAGGCCCGGGGCCCTGGTCCTCGTCTGGCTCTCCTGGGTCCTCCGCGGAGGCTCCGACAACGTCGACGCGGCTGCAGATGCTGACGCCACCTTCCCGGGACCTGCAAGACCGGTTTGGGGACCGGAGTCA